AAAACACTTGACACAAAGGAAATGTCTGGTGAATAATTGTGTTGTAAATTGAATAAGCTTTATTGTTTTTCTTGTAGATGTAATTCTTCAAAACCCTTCACATAAGAGATTCTGTAATCCCATTTGAGTTCTTTAGTTTAAAGCAGATTTTTTTAATGAGTCTCTCTGTCAAAGCATCCGCTTTTGTAATTGGTGTTAGATTTTAACGTTTCTATCATGAGAAAAGCAAATGAAATCTGATGAGGCCATTAGATTCAGTGCTTTAATATAATGATAAATTGTCATGAAAATAATATTTTAATGTTCTAAAACAACCTCATAATGGCATTTTCATAATAATAAACTAAGCTCTTCCAGTGTTATTTTATTTACCAATTAAGAAACAACTCTATGGGGATTTTTCCTGATGTTATCATATTGATTCATAGAGATTTTTAAGCAGTTAATAGGATAAGAAAAAGAAAACCCAGTAATAATAAGAAGTAAACAAGTAGGTAATATTGGGAGAGCATGAGATAATGTGATGAGCTGAGGTTTCAGTGTAACTGGTGTATCTTCAGGAACTCGAGGAAGGTCTGACAAGTCACCAGCCCATTTATTCCACCTTGAACCAGACGGGTGAGGGCATCATCAGACAGCTGTCTGCCCCAGATAGCAGCCTGCTGCAGGAGAAACTGGGAGGTCTGAACAGGCGCTGGAAGAAAGTCTTCAAAGAGATCAGGGAGCGGCAGCACAGGTAACCTCAGCTGTTAGCATCAGGATAGCCCTGCAGCTGAAGGGCCGACGCTACCACTTCACCTCCTTCCCCACACAGAATCCAAAAAATCACAGTGGTCAAAGAAAGATGACAACATGATTGACCAAGATGGCAACACGTTTTCAAAAAGCATTTAAGATTAAATATTTGGTAAAGTGCAGGCACCCGTATGAAACCACAAACAAAACATAGTGGAAACTGATTTAAAATAATTTAGCTTTCTTTATTGACTTCTTTATTTCATTTACACAAAGTCACTTGTGAAGTAGTTTGGATAGAAGTACAAAGAGTAAATAAATCCTGTGCAAAGGCCTTTAGTCTTTCGCTCTGTGTATGACCTTTCTTCAGGTTATTGTTACTTGTTTCGTTATCATCCCCCTCTTTCCTCTGGTTCCCTCTAAAGGATGTTTATTTCTATAGATTAGTGATGAACAAATAGTTATAGAATTATAATAAAATTGTTAATACTGAAGCCATTTATTTTAAAATCCATTTGGTTTGTGCTATACTTTCCTTAGGAGTCTATTGATCTCAACTTTAAGTTTCATGGTTAGAATGTGGGTAGATAAAATGTAGATCTATGGTATGACTACATTTCTTTGTGAAATAATGATTTCTTTCAATATGCCTATTGTGTGGCAATAAAAAGCCAATGTCAGGGGTGAACTTCAGAGTTTTTCAGAGATTTATTTTAAATAATTTCCTTTCAAGTGGAGCTCAGCCAACACTAGTGCTGTATTTTCACTGTATCTTCTTGTCCTAGAAATCTTACCATGCTTTGTGTTGTGACCAGCCTCAGGGCAGGGGACCCACAGCTGGCAGACTTACTGAGGAGGACAGATGAACTGGCTCTCTGGTTAGAGCAGGCTGAGTGTGCTGTGGGAACTCTGCCAGTCACTGCTGCAGATACAAACCTCCAAGAACTCAAGGCAAGACACCACTGCGGTTAATTTCTAGATAAATGTTTTCTTTGCTTTTCTGTAATGTTGAGGGCAAGCTTGTGTGTGAGCTGTCAGTTTGAATGGGTTAACTGTACTTTCAATTATGAATTCCTTTGAATTAATTTAATGTTGTTGGGAAATTAAGACCAGGATCATGAAAGACCACAACCTACAACCAACCAACCAATGTTAGGGAAATAAACAATTAATCTGATTTATTTGTCCTAAGTCTATTTTTTTCATTCCTTCATTAACTCAGTGCCCACAGTCTGAAACCAAAGCAGCTTCATAAGCCCTGAAGCCCCTAGACGATAAATAATGTTTGGTGCATCAATTCTTCTGCTTTCATTTTTTGCCCCTCACAAGGCCCTGGCAGAAGAAATGGATGTCCAGAATGAAAAGCTAACTTGGCTCAATAAGAACGGTCCTCATATACTGTCCAGCAAATCCCTCAGCTTGCAGGACCGAGACAAGCATGTCACTCGACTGAGAGCCATCAACATGAACTGGAGCAAGGTAAGGGAGGCTGGGAAACTCTCCTTGTCTTGGGCACAGAACGGGCTGTTTGTGATATGGGATAGGGATATAACAAAACCTTCAGAAGATTATGCCCAGAGGCTCCTGCCATCATTTTTGCAAAGCTTCTGTGTTGCTGTTGATGGTACAGAAAGTCCTTTGGAAATTCTCAAGGGCAGTTTAGACTCTGTCCTATACTTAAATATTTAATCAGTTTTATTTAATCTGGGTTTGAGTATGGTTATGCCTTACTTATCAGGTCATATTCTAAGGCAGGGTTCCCAGTGTAGGGTTTGGACACCCACACACCTTTTGCGTGTTTCCAGCTTTTTACTTAATTAAAACCAACAAGTTCAACAACTTTTTTTTTCCCTCCAGTTTGAAAGTTGGTAAACTTCGCTTAATTATGAAACACAATAGTTAGAATGCTACAAGTTTTGGAGCTCAAAACAAAAAATCAAATTAAACCTTTATCCAAATAATAGGATTAGTTTTGTAACTGAGACCTTGGCTGGAATAATAAAACAGCAGATGTGTGGGCCTCCAAGAAAAGGACAGGGAATCCCTGTTCTAAGGTGCTAAATAGACTGTAGTAAGTCCAGACATCTGTGGCTTGAGTGCTAACTAAGTCTGCTCTGCATCAGTAATACTCTACTCTGCATCAGTAATAGCTCCTCTCTTTAAATTGCACTGGCTCCCTGGACAATCTGAACTTTAAGACTCCTCATGTCATGTATTATGCACTGGGTGGTAAGCTTCAGGTTATCTTAAGGACATATTGCATGATTATAGTACAGATTTTAGTCTGCAATATGCTGATTAAGTCTTTTTTACCCTAGGCTTCAGAAATCAGAGACATATCCTGTTTGTAGAATTCACAGCCCAAACACATTGGAGATTATGCAGCTGATATCATTATTATAACTTGCTTAAATCTCTCCTTTATCTATGGCTTTAAATGTATTGTTCATGTAGTTTAGTTTTACTCTTGGGTTTACTACTTCACCTGCTGTTGAAATTTACTTTTTCCTGACATTGTCATTGTTATGGGGATTCATTATCTGAAGTCTGAGCAGTTCCCCAAGGAAATGAACAGAAAGACAGGGAAGCATCAGGCAAGATCAAGAACTGTGCACAGTTTATTAAGGATTTCTTAATTTTGTGAATATATGACCCTGAGACTCAGTGAGTGGAAACTATAAACATTTTTGCCTGTTGCTAAAAGATAAGAACTGTCTATATAATGGAAGCTTAGCAGAAATGTTTGTTTAATGTGGATTTCACCTTTGACTGATGGTTTTATGCGATACATATGTAACGTTTTCAGGAGCAAATTTCACCATGTTGAATATTAGATTATGTTTGTGTAATTTAACACATTTATTATTAACCACAACCTTTTTATCTAGGTAACAAAGGAGCTTTTGGATAAAGTAGGTGAAGTGGAGGTGAATTTGCAGAGTCACAGACAATTCCAGGACAAAATGGACTGTCTGTCAGACTGGGTGATTGTGACAAGGCAGCAGCTGTGCTCACGAACGCCTGGTCACCTATCAGCCTCAGAGAATCAGGTACTATGTTAATGTTATATTGTGTACATGTTACATATTAAAGATTAGCTATAAAGGGATAGGGTTAAGGGGATATTTAGTTCGTTTTACTAAGGAATAAAACACCATGAATATTTGCCTCTGAAAACCCCCAAATTGATGGAAAAAAGAATGGAAATAGTAATTTCTTGATTGAGTGGCTGGATTTTCTTTTCCATTTGCCACCCTGAATTTTTTCACTAAGTCATCTTTTAGTCAGACCCCTTCCCCTTCAGATTATAGAAAATTAGAAGGACTTTCCAAAACCAAATATAAAATCTGAAAAATGGAAGATGCAGGTCAATGTATTTAAATCAAAACTGAATTAAGCATGGAAATAGACCTGTTCATCAGTAGAAATGCTTTTTAAATATTAAAATATCCATATAAGTTTATTTGTATCTAAAGGGTCAAATGGAAACAAAAATAATTCTGATTATTTTCTGTATTGTGTATACATTCATAAGTGCATTTGCAATTTTTTCTCTTGGCATTTAAACATTAAAAATTCTTTTGAAGAAAGTTTTAAAAACAGTCATAATTTAGAATGTTATTACTGTCTAATTTTCTAGGTTCTGGAGAAGACAATGAAGGAACACAAGAGAGAGCTTGAAGATCTACTTGCCAGATCTATTGAGCTTCAGAAAAGGCACCAGCTACTTCCCCAGGAGAAGGTGAGCATTCTTGTGTTTGTATATATACAGTACTTTTCTATGGAAGTGTACTAGCATCACAGAGAAAAAAAGTATTATGTTTAAATTAGATAATATTGCATTTTACTAAATAACATTGTGTTAAAATGTCATAGTTACTTAGTAAACAAGATATTATTAGCAAGATATAAGCCTAATATTAATATACTGCAATATATATATATAAAATAATGTTGTCTCATGCGAAGCACCATTGTCATTAAAAGAAGAATATCGTCAAACATGATTTTGTGCAAATGAATTAATCTAAAGGGGCATACTGTACGTACTGTCTTTTGTAACCCAGGAATGCTTAATCAGTGTCGCATTTACGCATGTCATTTTCTCAATTTTTGTTTTTAAATCAGAAATGAGACAGCTTTACAAACATACAGTATTTCATTCTTCGTGAGCAAACCAGAAACATGTAAATTTGTTGCTGCCTTATCTTTAAACATTGAACAGAATACATTTATGATTACTTAAAAGTAAGATTATACTTACTGTCGGATGACTGCCTTTGTTACCATTACTACTGTTGGTTTACTGCTATTGTTGTTGGCTCATTGAGTATTTAAGCACAAAATCCTGAAAGATTTCAGC